TTGTTTTGTTTTGTTTTTTTAAGATTTTGTTTATTTTTTTGACAGAGAGGGACACAGTGAGAGAGGGAATGCAGCAGGGGGAGTGCGAGAGTGAGAAGCAGGCTTCCTGCTGAGCAGGGAGCCGGATGCAGGGCTCCATCCCAGGACCCTGGGATCATGACCTGAGCAGAAGGCAGATGCTTAAGGATTGAGCCACCTAGATGCCCCTCTTATTTTATTTTCTTGACTTCTTTATTTTTCTTGACTACTGAGAGTTCTTTAGATATTGTGGATACATGTATTTTATCAGATAGGTGTTTTGCAAGTATTTTTAATCATTCTTTGGCTTTATTTAATGCCCTTAACAGTGTCTTTCTTTTGAGGAACAGAAATTTGGGAAATTTTGGTAAAATCTTGTTTATCAATTTGTTGTTTTAGGATCTTCCTTTTGTGTTTTACCTAAGAAATTTGTATAACCCAAGGTAGCAAAGACTTTCTACTATTTTTTCTTCTAGTAGTTTGATAGTTTAAGGCTTTATATTTAAGTCTGTGATTAATTTTGAATTAATATTATATATTGGACAAGATAGGAATAGTTCATTATTATTATTATCATTATTTTTTTTCCTTAGGTAGGTCCAATTGTTTCAGCATTTATTGAAAAAACTAACCCTTTTCCATTGAATTACTTCTGCACTTTTGTAAAAAATCAACTATTCGTATATGTCTGTGTCTGTTTTTGGACTTTCTATTCCATTTCATTGATTTCTTTGTTAGTCTTTTTTTTTTTTTTTAAAGATTTTAAAAATTTATTTGAGAGAGAGAAAGAGAGAGAGAGAGTGTGCATGAGATGGGGAGGGTCAAAGGGAGAAGCAGACTCGCTGCTAAGCAGGGAGCCTGGTGCAGGACTCTATCCTGGGACTCCAGGATCATGACCTGAGCCAAAGGGAGTCGCTTAACCAACTGACAGCCAAGTGCCCACCTTTGTTAGTCTTGATGACAGTGTCATATAATCTTATTTACTATAGCTTTATAATAAGTTTTGAAATCAGTATTTCAAGGTGGTTTTGACTGTTGAAGGCCCTGTGCATTTCCATATGGATTTTAGAATCACTTTATCATTTTTTAACAAAAAAGCCTACTTTAAATTTATTTGGATCATATTGAACTTATTTTTCCCTTTGAGGAGAATTTGCCAACCCATAAAGAAGGTCTGTTTCTCCATTTATTAAGGTTATTGACTTGAGATCTTTTATTTTTTAAAATTTTTTAAAAAGATTTTATTTATTTATTTGACAGACGGAGATCACAAGTAGGCAGAGAGGCAGGCAGAGAGAGGAGGAAGCAGGCTTCCTGCCGAGCAGAGAGCCTGATGCGGGGCTTGATCGCAGGACCCCGAGATCGTGACCTGCGCCGAAGGCAGAGGCTTTAACCCACTGAGCCACCCAGGCGCCCTGACTTGAGATCTTTTAAAAAATTTTTTATTTTAATTGTGGTAAAATACACATACTGTAAAATTGACCATTTTAATTATTTTTAAGTGTAGTCCAGTAGTGTTAAGTACATTCACATTGTTGTCCAGTTTTCTCTAGAACTCTTTTCATCTTGCAGAACTGGGATTGTATATCCATTAAATAGTAACTCCTCATTCCCTTCTTTTCCCTGGCCCCTAGCAGCTACCATTCTACCTTTTTGTTTCAGTGAACTTATTCTAGATAGCTTATGTATGTGGAAACATACAGCATTTGTCTTTTCGTGACTGGCTTATTTCACGTAATGTAGTGCCCTCAGGATTCATCTATGTTGTAGCATGTATCAGAATTTCCTTCCTTTTTAAGGCTGAATAATATTCCATTGTATATATGCCACATTTTCTTTATCCATCTATCTGTTGATAGATATTTGTTGTTTTTTCCTACCTCTTGGCTATTTTTGAATAATGCTGCTATGAACATGGGCAGATAACCTCTTCGAGATCCTGCTTTCTATTTTGAATATATATCCAGAATTAGATGCTGGGTCACTTCTATTAATTTTTTGAGCAGTCACCATAGCACTTATACCATGTTACATTTTCACCAACAGTGCTCAAGAGTTCCAGGTTTTCCACATCTTTGCTGGCACTTTTTCTGTTTTTTTTGTGGTGGTAGCCATCCTATTGGATATGGGGTGATACACATGGTAGTTTTGATTTGCGTTTCCCAAGTGATTAATGATGTTGAACTTTTTTAATATACTTACTCACCATTTGTATATCATCATTGGAGAAGTGTTTCTTCAAGTCCTTTGCCTGTTTTTTATTATTTTTATTTTTAATTTAATTTAATTTTTTTTCTTTGCCTGTTTTTTTAATTGGGTCTTCTTTTTTCATATAAGCCTTTATAGCTGTATATTTCCCTGTCTCACAGTTCTGAAGGCTAGAAGTCCAAAATTAAGGTGTCAGCAGGATCGGTTTCTTTCCAGGGCTGTGAGGGAAGCATCTGTTCCAGGCCTCTCTCCTTGGCTTGTAGACAGTGTCTTCCCCGTGTTTCTTCTATCATCTTCCTTCTTTGCATGCCTGTGTCCAAATTTTTCCTTTTTATAATGACACTAGTCATATTGGAATAGGGGCCACCCTAAAGACTACATTTTAACTTGATTTCTTTTATAAAGACCCTATATCTCTAAAGTCACATTCTGAAGTACTGGTGATTAGGACTTCAGCATGGAATTTTAAGGATACAAAATTCAATCCATAATTGATGCCTTTTCTTTATTTTTCTTTCATTTATACTGGCTAGAACCACCAGTACAATGTTGACTGGAAGCGTCTTGTTCCTTGGCTTGTTTCTGATCTTAAGGGGAAAGCACTCAATTTTTCATCATTATGTCAGCTGTAGATTTTTTGTTAGATAGTCGTTATCAGGTTGAGGAAATTCTTTTCTTTCCTTGCTTGTTGGCATTATTTATCAGGAATGAATATTAGATTTTATCAGATGCATTTCCTGCTTCTTTGAGATGATTGCATGGTTTTTCGCTTTTAGTTTACATTATTTAGGTGTTACTTATTCTCTTTTATGATTTGACCATCTGTCTGAGACAGTTACTTTTATTTATTCATTATTTATTTATTTTTTTTGCGATAGCATAAGCAGGGCATAGGGAGGAGCAGAGGGAGAGGGGGAGAGAATCTTCAGCAGGCTTCATGCCGAGCATGGAGCATGATGTGGGACTTGATCTCATGACCCTGAGATCCTGACCTGAGCTGAAATCAAGAGACAGATGCTTAACTGACTGAGCCACCCATGTGCCCCTGAGACCGTTACTTTTTATAAATGGTGCTCTGATTATGTAGTGATTTTAACTACCATTTTTTTTCTTTCTTCTCTTGATTAGTGAATGAGAGCTACAAGCCTGAATTTATAGAGTTTAAGAAGTGGCTGAAAGACAGGAAGTTTGAAGATACAAACTTAATACCTGCTTGTTTTCCAGGTAAGGTCTGGCATCAACTCTTAGGACTTTGCTCACGTGAGAGACGTGGGCTCAGGTGATCAGAAAGCAGGGGTAGTTCTTGAAGGTGGGCGGTATTCTCTCTGGGAGCACATCTTCTGTTGTGTGTCAGACTTCCTCCTTTGTAGCTATAATATTGATTTACACCTTACTTTGTTCTAAAAATAAATTGAATGGCTTTTGGGGAGAAATTCTAAAATGGTAAATAATATTAAAAATTTAAAAAAGGGAAATGAGAATAGAAAAATAAGAGGAAGGCAGGGATAAGAATAATACATAAAAGCCATGATTCTAACATCTTGCATACTTGTCACAGATCAGCCATAAATTATAACTTATCTTTCCAATAGTGAGTCCATTTATATGATCAGTTACCTGAGTCTTTGTATTCTAGAAACAAAACTAAGTTGTTTACTCAACAGAAGTGCAGCTATTCCTGGAACTTAGACCTGAGGGAAATGTCTTCATCGGGTCTTCATAGGGAAGACACTTCTGTAATGTGACACTCTTATCATCATACTCATAGTGATTTCATGGGATTTTCAAGCCATGCAGGCTAATGGGATTATCCCATAGCTCAGGTGAGTCAAAATTGTTTTCCAGGGGAAGGAGGTGCTTTTCTCTGCTGGTGTGGCTGGAGGACAGATGTCCTTAGGGACGCCTGAGCAGATACTGCTCCCTCCACCGTTTTGTGGGTGTGCTCCCCAGATATTAGAAGAGGAGCCCTCAGGGTGGCCCTAGCTTCAACAATCACCTAAGCAGAGGTAGATTAACATAATTTTCTGGAATTGAGGAGCTTATCATTGGAGTTTGGGTCAGCATTTTCTTCTGGAACATTCTCTGGGTGTGTGCCTGCATTCAGCACCACCCAGTTCTGTCCAGATGTAGGCTTGAGGTCACCATGGGGAGGACCTTCAAAGGGATTCCGGGTCTGCTATAGCTTAGACAGTTGTGCAGCAGGTCTACAGCACAGGGCAGGTACAGATCTTTTATAGAAAATTAAATCGTGGGGCGCCTGGGTGGCTCAGTGGGTTAAGCCTCTGCCTTCGGCTCGGGTCATGATCTCAGGATCCTGGGATCGAGCCCCGCATCAGGCTC